CTCACTGAATGCAAATAGGTTGCTGAGGTCTTCTTTACCTTCCTCACAATCACGGACGATCTGTTCGACCCAGGTGTCGTCAACACGTGGCATATGGGAGTAGGCCGCCACAATTTTGTACTGGAATCCACACTTTCTGACCTCATCGTAAATCTTGCGTTTGTTTTCTAGTGTGTGCCCACGGAGCTGACCCACAGTGCTCTCACGAAGTGAATTGTCCAGCACAATGAGATCCAGGTCTTTCAGTCTAGCTCGTTTCTTTTTCTCTTGTGCAATGTTACCATTAACTTCCTTTATGAGCTCTTCAAATGGCATGTTACGGCAGATCTAAATCTTATTAAAGAAAAAGATAATAAATATGATATATACTCGTGATTAATCACCCAGCTTTTTGGCAATCTTTGAATATTCTTCTAGACACAATGATAGCTGACCGGTATGAAGGTGCGAGAGGACGTTTTGTGAACTACGAGGAGGCGAATCCCTTGCCTAATTGGTGAAAACATACATCGAACTACATAACAAGAATTTCATGTTTAAACTGTTGCGACTGGCAGGTGTAAGACCTGAACTCATATTGGATTATTTTGTTAACGTCCATCACATCTTTACCTTTGCTGTATTCCTTTGTGATAGTGTTAGTTGATTAATCATAGACGTTTTTTAGATGTTCATTCCTAAACTTGACTATGCATCCATTGGACTATGTGCGATAAAAGTGTGCAGTCAGTCAACCACATTACCTCTTCCGTTCCACTTCAACCAAAACTGTATTTTAAGGGTCAAACTATTTGCTGGCGATCCCTAGCGAGGCAGCGGCCTATTCTTTACAATAGCGGGAAAAAGCCAAAATTTGTCGGATGTAATATCGGAGACATGCGCAGTCGATTTCGTTTTTTATCCGGGATGCTTGTGATGACATCACGTAAAATACACGTGGAAAGATCGCTCGATTTCAAGCAATAGCTGATTTCTGCTAGAAATCAAGGACACGATAAACGAGATCAGTTTTTAATATAGATGTCTAATTGCTTGTGGAAGTATTGATCAAGTTCATGAACGGTTTAGTGACGACTCTCGAGGAAGGCAAGATATTTTTTTGTGTTTGGCTGCTATTTGAGAAATTTTTGCCGATTTGCTAATGGAAGTGCCAAGATGTCGATTAAGTCCTACTTCATGGAGCTCATTTTTTACTATGTAATTATGTTGAATTACAATTCAACATAATTTCTTATTGTTTTTCATAATAACCTTTAGCTACAGGCTGTTTAGGTACACAAAGGGGCGGAAAGTTGCGCAATTTTTTCTCAGGGGAAAAAAAAAAGGCTTTTGTTCGGCTGCCTGCTCAGTCACCCCTGAGGCATTAACTTAGAGACGGATTTAATTTCGTTTTTAAATTCTACAGAAGAGCTGGATGAGTATTCTTTCGTGATAAAAACCTAAGTGACTAAACAAAGAGAAATCTGTCATAGGAACTCTCGAGTAAGCAAGACCTTATCTGAACTAAGATCAGTAAACAACAGTTATTTTACTATATATTGCTTCTTGCTCCTAAACAAAAGGATAAAGATATCGAGGTTTCCAAAAGCATCAAACCACACGGGATCCATTGGAACTGACGCAGAGGGGGAGTAGCTTTTGGTTTATTCGATAATAATTTAATCTGTTCTGAATTAAAAAAATCTTGGTAACCCTGAATGATTTTTTATTCATCTTTGAACTCCCAAGATTGACTTTACCACAGGAAATATCACTCTACTCAAACATATCAGTCCTTTTCACTGGGACGTGATCCGTCTCAATATGTCGCGTGACCCCAGATGCCCCAGCTGGAAACTGGAATTATTAAATATGATAAAAAGGGGGGACAAATTAAAATAGAGTCGCAGTCACTCTATCACCATAATGAAATTTTACGAAGATATCTAAAAAAGAATGCTAAAACAGTAGACTTGGTTTCATTTCATTTATAATTGCGATCAACAGGAAAACTCCATTATCGACTAATGAGCAAATGTCAATCACTCTGTAGTGCAGGAAAAAAAAGTGCGCTTATCAAACAATCATTTGCATGACACCCCACACGATCATAGTTTGCAAAAAACGAAGAAGCATAAGAAATATTATCTTTTGAAAGTTGAATTTCTGAGCGGCGATATTTGAGCTTGTACCTTCCTTTTTACTATATATCAAGACTGTGATTCGTGAACCGATTCAATCTGACATAGTGTGAACGCTTGTAATGATGTACGTGCAAAAATTTCAGCTTGCTCATTGACCGAGAACACTTCAATTAATCCTAAACAGTGCATAAAGTTGAAATTCCGAGTGCAAATAGTTGAAATTGACTGCAGAAAGCTGAAATCAAATTGATTGACAGAAAGTCGCGAAAGTGAGGAGAAGGTTAAAATAAATTTTCAACGTTTTAATACAGAGTTTGAGGGAGACTGCCGAAAACAAAGACAGCAAACAAAGGAAATACAATTGCTAAAAGTCTAGCAGTCTTTGTCTTCCAAAAACGGCCACGAAAGTATGATCTGCATGCCCTGAATAAAGTTCTCGAGGAGTTTCACGCGTCAGTTCGTAAGAAAGAGAGGAAAGTTACTGTTGTCGACCGATACCAAAAGATTATAAACCGATAAACTCTTGCCGATGCCTAACAGAGAAAGAGTACGAACCCTCGATTTTGTGTGACAGAGCGTTTAAAAGCTTGAAGCAAGTTGAGGGAAAAGCCCGACGACTCCGACAACAAGGCAAAGGCAAGGAGCCGACATGATCACTGAGCCATGACGCGATATAAAAACAGCCAAAGAGGAAAACAGAGTCACGTTTTTGCTTCTATGTTATCAACTAGTTATGACATGATTTTGACTTGCTATTTGGGATAAATCAGCCCTCGTAATTTTTTTTAAATACTTCAAATTTCACTCGTCCTACGGGTTCGTGCAATTTGGTTAGCCTTTGAAAAATGTACCCAAATGGCGCTGCGCGTTTGTACGTCACGAAATTTTGACCCCCTAGAGCGATTAGGACAAACAAACAGGCTTCTCGAGTAATTGAATATGGGCTATGATGCGCCCATCTCTAGTTCAAACGCCTCTA